TATCCGACCATCCGCATCTATAAAAAATCACTAGCATCAACATACTAAGGCTACTTCATTGTCAGCAAGTACGACGTAAAATCGAAGAAAAGATAGTTAATGAGTTTTAGATTTTTATTTTTCAGTAATGGCACTGCTATGGAAAAAAAATAGCTTACTTCTTTTCTTTATTTTTTGTAAACACATTTTTTTTTTTTTTTGTCTCTTACAGAGACACTATGATTTGTATCGTTTTTCTGAAATTTGCAACAACTTTATATTTTAATAGTGATTTTCTATTCATGTGCATATTATTTTTTCCCACTTTGAGCAAGTACCGCAATCGCACAAATTACTACTTACACCGCGTGCATTGTGTAAGAGGGTGCGCGAGACAACACATTTTATCAATTTTTCTTTTCTTCTCGTCATATTTAATCGTAAAATAAAGGAAAGGAAAAAAGTAATCATACCTTAAGTTTAATTTTGTTTTTTCATACCGACTACGAAAGTCTCAAATTGTCTTGGAAAACTTGGAGAAAATCACACACCAAACATGTACAACTTACTTGAAACCTAGTCTACAGAGACGAGGATCATCTACAGGACACACATTTTCCTGCCTAATACGTCACATCCCCGACATAATCTACGTAACACAATGGCCGACGAAAAGAGGCGTGGAACAAATATTCCCAAATTGTTTGCCATCCCCGCAGTTTTCAGAACAATGTTTGAGACTCCATCGTGGAATCAAACGTTCACCGAAGCCATCGGAATTCGACTCGCTGTTCTATTTTCTTTTAATATTTTTACATGAGATACAGCGCGCGCATCTTCACCAAGTGAGTAAACGACATACTCATACACAGTGATTCGCACAGTTACGGTCCTCTGCAGAAATAAACGTTTCCATCCAATTCTTTCTCCCTCGAACTGTTGGACGCCACGACAATGATCTCCAAACAGTGTTAATCGTAAAAATTTCTCATCGCTCAACAAACGCTCGAGTCTCGTCCTCAAAGTTAATCGACAAAACTAGTAATACTGGCAGCATTATAGACAATAGCCGATACGCGTGCACGTGCACTTTAGCGTGTCCCGAGAGCTTCTCCAGCGCAACAAACAGACAGCGACCCATTCGTTAATACGTTAATTCGGTTTCTCTTTTCCAAGCGACAAACGTACAGGAAGAAAGAAAAATAAGCGGCGCTCTCTTGCGCGTGTAAGGAAAAAAAAAACAAGGGAGAGAAGAAAAGACTCCCCCGAAAAAAAAAAAAAAAAAAAAAAAAGTAAATAAATAAAAAACAATCACGAAAGTCAAAACAAACAGAATGGATTGTCCCTTTAATCTTGCAGCATGTGGACGAAGCTGATGGGAATCATGCCCCTGCGCTCGGGCGCGCGCTCTAGGAAGCCCTCCATCCAGTTGTCGTCGTCGGTGTGCTCGTTCGTGACGACGATGACGTCGCCTTCGTGGAACGATAGTTCGTCCTCGTTGTCTGCCTCGCAGTCGTAGAGCGCCCGGCAGCGACGCAGCCCGCCGCCTCCCGGCCCAAGGCTGCCACCAGTACTGGCCCCGGCGTAACCGGCCGATGCTGCTCCTCCTGATGCTGCTGTGCCGACTGCCGTTGACGCTGCCTGCCCCGCTGATGGCTGAAAAGATCGTAAACGTTGGTCATTCGACCGAACATCTTGTTGAGCTTCGATTTGCCGTTTCTGCCGTTGCCGCTGATGGGACTGCTGTTCCTGTCGCCGATCATCCCTTCGTCTTTGAACCTGTAGCTGGCTACGCTCCTGCTCCTTGGCTTCGGTTTATTCCGCGGCTTTTGGTACCCTGGGATCTGAGAGTGCAGGACACGGACGACAGTGGTGTGGTGGATGTTTTTGGGTGTGTGTTGTGAGTGTGGGGATTTAAAGCACCGGAAAATCAAACAATTTCATTACAAGAAGAGCTGATACTCAAGGGGAATGGGGCTTGGTGTTTTTTTTTTTTTTTTTTTTTCCCCATGGTGCGGCTGGAAAAGTTTTCAAGCATCCCAAAATGCTACTTGGGCATTTTTCGCTGCGTACCGGGAAAAGAAAACAAGGAGAAAAAAAAAACAGCCAAAGCACACTAGTAGGTAAAATTATACACCCCACTCTTTGCCGTGCATTAATTTCTTTCTTTTTTTTTTTTATTCAACGCGTGCATGCAATTGCCAAATAAATCACCCACGAAGTAGTGCGACTTTTGGTGTTTTGTTGGCAAAACTAATTCATCCATCAAAAGTTATGTATGTACACCTAATAACTAAAACTGTGCGATTATGCGTACAAGCGACATGCTGGTAAACAAACTAATGTAGTACTGTTAGAATGTCTTCTACAAAATACTTGTACTCTATAGTCAAAAACAGGCGGAGGGATCATGCGCTTTGGTGGGCTAAGGTACGGATGCTCAAGCAAGGCGTGGATTAAGTAGTTATCCAGGTTTCGTGCTGAATTTATAAGACCCTCTTATCCTTGTCACCACTAGTTGCTGCATCGAGTCTAGATTTGATTAATTTCTAGTGTGGACTGGAAGGGTTACAGGGCAGACAAAAGAGGTAAAATGGATGATGGTGGATTCAACCAGCTCAAACCTTATGTACACAGAGGTGGTGGGCATGCATCACAAAAATAAAGTGTGAAATCATTTAGTTGACTATATTTTGCTTGGAATTTTTGCCAATAGAATTTGTTGCTCTGCTCTGCGGTTGCTCCTGCCATGGATTTCTCTTGGCTATACAAGGTGCCTCGGCGAATTCACCCTTGGACCAAATGGAGAAGGAAGCGAGTAAAAGTACGGGGTTAAGATTAAGACACACACACACACAAAAAGTAACAGGTAACAGAGGGATGTGTATGGATAATGTGAAAACATTATAAAAAAAAAAAAAATTGTTGGATTAACATGTACGTGTGAAAATTCATTGCTTTAAGCGGGAGTAAGAGGAAAGGACAAGCAGTTGGGAAGGAAAATCAATGCTTATCCGACCATCCGCATCCAAAGTGTGGTGCTTGGTGATGCATAATTTATAAAGCGTGACACGTTTGGAAAATTAACGAGAGAACTTCCGTTTCGTGTCATTTGCGTAAATAAGTCATCCTCAAATTTTAAACACGTGCACATGGTTGCACTTCTATTTGGATGCAGATTATTAAACATCGATTTGTTTTTTTTTATTTACACCTATATGGTTTGGAAAAAAAAACTTTGTACCGACACTCAACTGAGTCTTGCTGAAAGTTTGTTTCTGTTTCGTTTACGTATTGATCAGTTGTCTCGTGATGAATAAGCATATTTTGTGCTGCACAGTAATAACAACAACAATGTACCTGTCATGTATTACGACAAAAGTAAGCTAAAATAAGAATTCCTCTATTGTTACTCTTCAATGATAAATCAATACGTGTTCCTTTTCAGTACATTTGTTTTCTAAAACCTTGACAGCGATTTTTTCGTAATATTCGAAAAAAAAACTGTTTTTTACGATTAAAGCATAAAGAAATCCGCACACCTATAATTTGTTGCTCTCAATGAATATTGTACCATTAAAACAAAGGTATGCTTCTTTCCTTTTTTTTAACTTACTAAGTAATTTTATGTTTAACTCTTGCAATTATAAACTAAAGAGCCGACGATATTTTGATACAAGCAAACCAATTTCACCTGGATGTAAAATATTTTTTATTTATTAATTTTTTTTTTTTTCTTAAAAATATTTTTCGCAAAGTTTACCGCGATAACTTTACCCAGCTTGTAATGTCGCACGCAATCGTTTCTTATGCTACTGTATTTTTTTTAAAACTAGTAATATCAAAATGATGATGAATATAGTCAAATGAACAATCAACGCGTCTCGATGACTGTTGTTTCGACAGTCGAAACATTTGTGACAAATTTGAAACCGCAATAATTTACAAAATATTCACGATAAGTACTGGCTTTCTCGAGTAAGCACACAGTAATCGAGACGCCTTGGATTATAAAATTAGAAAGAAAGAAGAAAAAAAAAAAAAAAAACATGAATCATCACAATATGGGGATACCGTACCTTTCTGGGTGGCGGCAGCGGGTTACCCAAGCCAATGTCCGAGCACGCGCTGTTGAGGGAAATCGAGTCATTGGTCGCGTCATCGGTGGCAGCGGATAGCCTCGCCATCGCCGAGGCCGGCGTCGTCGACGTCGTCACAGTCACGCTCGAGCAGATGGAAGAGGGAGCAGGTGGGGGCGGATTCCGCGGCCTCTGCAGCGTCGATGTGTTCATACCAATTTTGTCGATACCTGCGACACCGGAAGCGTACATCACGTACTTGAGTATATACGCATGAGTATATCTCGCTCGCTGAGAGTCTCTTTTACTTTCGTTTTGTTTCCCGCACCAAGCCATACAAAAAGGGTCTCGTTTCTTTATTTACATTTTCAAAATCGACCGTCACGTGTCTCGTGCTTTATTCATTTATGTTTTTAATTTAAAAAAAAAAAAAAAAAAAAAAAAAAAAAAAAAAACCCCTTCCATATCCTACTCTGCGACTGAGCAAATCAATAAGTTGGAAAACCACGCGCAGGATCAATGTAGATGATGTACTTATATGAACCGTTAAATAAATGTGAACCCGTTGTCTGTTGTCGTGTATATATATATATCGGCAGAGCTACTCGGTAAGGCGGGAGGTGTATCGCAAGGAGAACCGATCGGTCTACTTCACGCTTGCGTTCGCCGGCGTCGCCCTCATGACAGCCACGATAATCGGCGTCGCTATGTTCAAGCGATACTCCAGCTCACGGAGTCCCCACAGCCAGGTACGTCACCTCCCCCGTCTTGCATACATTCATACACGACCCCCGCGCACCATTAATTTATAATATATGTGTCTTTTCTTATACCATAAAATTCTCGGGTTTATGTAAACATGTAAAAAAAAACAAAAAAAAACTGGAATTTAAAAGTTTGTTCATAAAAAGGGTGGGCGGGGGGAACAAAGGTTACGCACATTGGTCGCATCGTCATCAATTAAACTGAACGGCGAGATCCTTTTTCATTTCCCGTAAAATGTATTATACACAACGGAGCAGTGACACTGTAAAATTTATGTATATATATACATATTTGTGTGTAGCCATCAGGACCCTCGTCACTTTGGTTGACTCGAGAGTTGTGCGGAGCGCTTCTTGAGCAAAGTTCGGATTAACTAACGCCACCTGTATACATATACACTTGTTATCGGGACAACTCTTCTAGCTCGAGTGTCGCAACTAAGATCGTTAAGAGCTAAGACGTTCCGGTTGAGGGAGCTAAGGGGAAGAAGGGGGTGGATGTCCTTATCTCTCCGACGCGAAACGCGCTGATATATAACATAAAACTTTGTACACGATGCAATGGCATATATAAAATATATGTGGTAAAAATAACATAATTACCGATGTATCTATACTCGATTATCGGTAAAGAAAAACCTCGCGATTGATGCAATAATATTTCGCGAGTCGGCGATACACGAACATAATTATACACATGGAAAAAAAAAAAAAAAAACACCATAGAATTTTCACAGCCTTTGTCGCGTTTATGTGTATGACGGGTAAATATTGTGAATTTTATCAATCGCAGGGCTTCATGGAGGTGGACCAGGCAGCGACACCTGAGGAACGACACGTGGCCAACATGCAGGTCAACGGCTACGAGAACCCCACCTACAAGTACTTCGAGGTCAAGGAATAGAGAGAGTGCGAAGAGGAGCAGTAAGGGGCGAAAGGGGGGAGGGGCGGCGTTTCCTGATGCGACAGCCCACACGTATACCTATACACATTGTAACAATAACATAGCGCAACCGCACATCATACTCGGGATGATGGGAGTATAACAGCAAACAAAAAACAAAACAATAGTATACCGCATTGATTTCCCCCCCCCCCCCCCACCGTTTATCAATTATTTCCCACTGTGGCATTGCAAAAAAACGCGCTCCGTTGTAATATTCTTTGCTGTCCTCGATGCCTCGTTCCTCTTCATTTTTCCTTTCGAGACTCTCTCTCTCTCTCTCTCTTGCTAATTAAAAGTTCGTTTGTTCGTTTGCCGGGGAAATACCGCCCTGTGGACGAGCTCTCGTGAAATCGATCCTCCGTATACCCGCCACGGCAGGAACATGTTTTTCTTATCCGTTACTTTTTTTTCCGGGGCAAAAACGATAAGAGTATAAAAATATTATGTATAAAAAGCAAGAAAAAAACAGAGTAAGGAGTGCGCACGAAAGGATCGATGAAAACGAAAAAGAGAGTAAGTACGGGACCAAAGTAACGAGTCCTTTGGCTCGTGTAGTTGTGTCCTGCGAGAGAAACACGTACACCGAAGAAAAGTTTGAGCGAAAGGCGGAGGGAGAGGGTGTGAGTTTTTTTTTTTTTTTATATATTTGTGGGGATCGCGAAGGGGCGCCGAACAAATAAAAGTCTCGTTAGGAGGGAAACTCGGTAATTTTCCGCTCGCTCATCGATGTAGGGAACGAGTGCAGGTTTTTTTTTTTTTTTTTTTTTTCCGCCATTGAGTATACGATACAAAATAAAGGCCGGAAAAGAGGAAGAACCACGAGGACAAGAGTCGTTCCTTGGACTGACGTGAGTAATTTAATCATTACGCTGATTGTTTTTTTTTTTTTTTCATCTTTTTTTTGCAGCTAACATTGTAATGACAACCCAAAACAAATTTTTCGGAGGGCTAAAGTCAGCTTGTTTTTCTTTTTGATGGTCACACGTAATATTTAATAAAGTTCAAACGCTGAATAACAAGTTGTGGAGAAACTAAAAAAATACACGCGCCAATGAAAGCTTATATTGTTTCTTCTTGTTCTCGAATTACCGAAGAAATAAAAAAACAGTATAGCCGAACGATCGAGTTGTTGGGATGATGAAACAAACACAAATTATACCTATTTTAAAAAATGGGGCACTTTAAACATCTCTCTGACGTGCCGTTCCTTTGATTATTGCTCGTTTGTATCGATGTGTAATTTTTTATTTATATCTTGAAATTTGCATGTATGATCTATGTAAACACAGGTAACGTGGGTAAATGGACGACGCGCTCGTAGAAAAAAAAAAAAACAGTTACGAAACAATAAGATCTTAGATCCCATGACGGATCTCGCGTGTCGATGGGATGAAGACGAAAATTGGCTTCGCTGCGATTTGGGGGTGTAAAAAAACAGAAATAAATAAAAAATTGTTGCCGCGCGGTCCAAAAAAGATATAATCCGATCCGTGAAAAGCTTTGGTCGTCGAACAGAAGCATCAGTAGTTTGTACCCCTACCTTGAAATTTTTTTTTCAAATTATACAAGTACAACACATATGATGTACGTGAACAACTACTGCAATCGGTTCAACGCGAAATCGCGAGTAACAAAAGTTAGCTTGGTCGACACGATTTTCTTTTGTGGCTATAATTTTTTAGATGACGGACGATAAATTATTTTCAACCAATACCATGTAGCTTGAGAATTCAATACTGTCCAAAAAAAATGGGGAAATCTTTTTTTCGTCATGCCTATACCCTTACAATAGATTAGTGGGAGGATATAATATATCATATATATATATATATATAAAACAAAAAAAATATATGTATGTACATGTGACAGAGGGGGAGACAAAAGGAGGCTTTTTCCGAGCTTCGCTACGAGCTTTCGATTTTTCACGTCATAGTCCTGTAGGCCATCACTCATATATATTATGGAGTACACGTACACGTATATACACACGCAAACAAGAATATTTTGTTATACTCGTCGAGTATCGGTGGACGGCAAGGGAGTCCTTTGAATTGCGAGAGGAGCGATAATTGGATCTGGAACTAATGATTTCGAATCTTTTTCGACCTCCAGTGGCGTGATGGTAACATCAGAAGAAAACAAACAAATTGATAAATTATTTCGAAAATAATGAAAAATGATGATACGGCGCAAAGCACATTCAGTTGTGTAATTATATAGCGCGCACCAATAAGTCTCGTGCATATAGTTTTTTTTTTTTTTTTTTTTTTTTTTTTTTTTTTTTTTTTTTTTTTTTTTTTTTTTT